CACTAACACAAACCACGTGTGGCCCTCCATGCCAGCTTCCATGCTGTTTTCCTTGGACAGCACGTCTCCTTTCTCTCTACCACAAGCTGATGTCTTGAAAACTGCTGATGGAGGGTTCTCTCATCCCCCTCGGAGGCCTGCAGTGTAGCCACTTGACGTGGCTCCCTCTCCCTCCCTACCCCTCGGACTGACTCACTTTCCTCCTTGGTTTCCAGTCCTCCTCACCCTGAGCACCACTTCCTTTTATTATCTGGGGGGAGGGGCATGGATTTTCTAGTTTCCAAGGAGAGCGGTCCACAGTGGGACTTAGCCTGGCATGTCTCTGGTCCTGCTGCTGCAGACAGCCTGGGCCTGGGGGTCCCCACAGAGTGTCTGGAATGTGGCCTGTGGGCCAAGGATGACGGTTCTCTGGATAGGAGCGGCTTGTGGCCTGTGACACTGGACACACTAAGACCAGAAGCAAAAGAGCTCCCAAGCCTCCGATCTTCTGTCCTTTCAAATAGCAGTCTTAGACTATAGTTGCCATTGCCAGGGTGATAAAGAAAGCGAAATAAACCTGGGTACGGCTAAACGAGGAGGATGGATGTTCTAGTCTAGCCCTGCACTGTTCACTATGATGGCAGTAGTCATGTGAGGCTATTTAAATTATTAAGAATGAAATTAAATTAAAAGTTCAATTCTTTAGTCTCCAGAGCCTTGTTGCAAGTGCTCAATCTTGGAACTCAACCTAGGGCTTAGTGGTGACCGTAAAAGGTCTATGCAGATAGAGAACATTTCCATGGTTGCAGAAAGTTCTGTTGGACAACCCAGCTCTGGCTTGTGGGGGGCCTTGGATAGTCTGAGGAGTTTTGCTAAGTTTAAAACACAGCCTTGCGATGGAATGTTCTTCAGCTTTAAAAAGGAGGGAAATTCTGGGGCGCCTGGATGGCTCAGTCGGTTAAGTGTCCAACTGTGGCTCAGGTCATGATCTCACAGTTCGTGAGTTTAAGCCTCACGTTGGGCTCTCTGCTGTCAGCCCAGAGCCTGCTTCAGATCCTCTGTCCCCCTCTCTCTCTGCCCCTCTCCTGCTCGTGCACTCGCACACGCATGTGCTCTGTCTCTCAAAAATAAACATTAAAAAAAAAAGAAAAGGAAGAGACACCTGGGTGGCTCGGTCAGTTAAGCATCCGACTGGTTCAGGTCCTGATCTCACGGCTCATGAGTTCGAGCCCTGCATCGGGCTCTGGGCTGACAGCTTGGAGCCTGGAGCCCGCTTCAGATTCTGTCTCCCTCTCTCTCTGTCCCTCTGCCACTTTCTCTCTCTCTGTCTCTCTGTCTCTCTGTCACTCTGTCTCTCTCTCTGTTTCTCTCAGATATAAATAAACATTAAAAAAAAAAAAAAGGAAGAAATTCTGACACCTGCTACAACATGGATGAACCTTGAGGACATTATGTTGAGTAAAATAAGCCAGACACAAAATACTGTGTGGTTTCGTTATATGCAGTACCTAGAATAGGTAGATTCATACGGATAGAAAGTGGAATGGTGGTTTCCAGGGGCTAAGGGAGGAGAATAGGGAGCTGGTGTTAAATGGGGGATAGAGTTTTAGTTTGAGAGGATGGAGAAATTTTGGAAATGGATCATGGTAATGGTTGCACAGCAGTATGAATGTGCTTAATGCCGCTTAATTGTATGTTTAAAATGGTCGTAATGGTTTATGTTAAGTGTATATAACACAGTTTTTAAAAACACACAGCCTCGGGGTTCCGGGGGTGGCTCAGTCAGTTGGGCGTCGAACTCTTGATTTCGACTCAGGTCGTGATCTCACGACTCATGAGTTTGAGCCCCACATTGGACTCCACGCTGGTGGCACGGAGACTGCGTGGGGTTCTCTCTCTCCCTCTCCCTGCCTCTTCCCTGTTCATGCTGTCTCTCTCTAAATAAGTAAATAAAACTTCAAAAAAATTAAAGAAAAAGAAAATCACAGCCTCACAAACTACTAATTATTCCCCAAGAACTTTCAGAATAATGTGGAGGAGGGAGGATCTGTTTGCGAGCACCTGTATGTCCTTAAAGGGCTCACATTCAGCATTCATGTACACAAGGACCCTGACGGGCAGGCTGTGGTCCTTGTGCCCCAGATGATGAATCAGGCTCCCTGGGTGAGGAGTCTGGCCGCTGACACACAGCTGGCATGAGGAAACGTCAGGGTTTAACCCCGGGGCTGTCTGGTCCCCAGGGGTAATAATAATCTGTGGTTACTCTTTGCAGCCTTAAACCCAGGTCTGCTGCCTCAAATTAATAAAGAACACTTGGGGAGACACTTCGGCTCTTTGGGCCATGCTTGTCTGGGTAAAAAAAAAAAAAAAAAAAAATACAAGTCAGGACAGAGAATGAGAGAATAGCTTCCTAAGCAGACTGTTGACCATAAGAAACACTGGGGGGAGGCCTCTTCAGCTGGCATGCACATTCGGACAGGGGCCCAGAAGGAAGCCTGAAGAATGGAGAACGGGCATGAGAGGGTGGATGGATTACTGGTGCAGACCCTTTTCCCCCTCCCCTAAGTTCCCTGTAATGGTGTTTCAGCAGTGTCTTAACAAATATAATTGAGAAGGACAAAAAAAGATGGTGTCGGGCAACACCTATAATCGCTAAAAGACTGCAGCTGGGACTGATGGGTCACCCCGCTTTTCAAAAGAAAACGCGTTCACCTGTGCCCAGAATGTTACACCTACTACATCTCGGGCTGAGTTTTCACGTTGGCATGACATTCCAAAGCCACCTCTGAGGGTGACCTCACTTAGGGAAAGAGAATGCGATTTACATTAAGATACTTGAACTGGCCGGACCGCCACTTAGCTGGGCGACCTAAGGCAGCCGTCGCTCTCTGCTCCCCAGTTTCCCCCGCTCTGTGACGTGGGGAGCATACGTTTATATCACAGAGTTATCGTAAAGGGCAGATAAAATCATGCATAGGAGAAGTCTTGTTAACTGTAAACTGCCAAGCAAATGTTAGTAGCGGTTACTGATTGTTACTTAATATTGGTGACGTGAATAGTATTAAGTAGGGTACTTGGCAAACACGTAAAGCTGTCCTCCACAGTGTTCACTCAGTGAACATTGGTTGCTTTCGTCGGTTGTTACGGAGAGCCTACTTTGTGCTGGCTTCGAAAAAACTCCTGGGTTTGAAGCAAGAAGCCTGCCTTTTCCAGAAGGCCCGCCGTGGCCTCGCCAGTTGCTGAACGACGTGAACCAAGCATTTCCCCATCACCACACAGCACAGAGTAGGGCCGGGGGGGGGGGGGGGGGGGAACCACATATAAAACCATGGCCTCCGGGCAGCCCTTCAGGGTGCTGGCCAGGCTGAGGGGGACCCACCTCCCTGGGGCATCCCATAAGACAGCGCGGAGGAGGCGTGAAACCCCAGCCCGTTTCTCGAGCCTGAGGAGCAGTCCCTGTTAGTTGTTATCTTTGCTGCTTCGTAGAGGCGGGGTGTGCGACGGCGGAGAAGCCATGGACTTCCATCTCTGGCCCGTCCACTTGCTGGCTGCAGGCCTCTGGCAGGTTTCTCCACTCTCTGGGCTTCAGTTTCCTGGCTAATCTTGTCCACCTTGAAGGAGCATTCTGCAGATTTAGTGAGAGCCTGTGTCTAAAGAATCGAGTCTATGCCTGGCACGGACAACCTGCTTCTCTTGCTCTTCCGGCCTCTTCTCCCTCCCCCTGCGCAAGAGCCCTGCTTATTTCTCCAGGGCTAGTCAGAGCTTCTCTCCTTCTATTGGAGGGACATCTTGAAAGCCAGGGTGACTGTCTCCTGGAGGGGAAATGATGAGCAGGCTTCTCACATTCCAGCCATCGCTCTGGGACACCCCAGACTCCCTTTCCCTCTGCTTGAATCCTGGGCCCAGATACCAGTAGGATGGTCATACCACCATGACAAAGCCTCTCTATACAACAAGGGTCAGCTCTCCCTTGGGCTGCTTGTCCATCAGAGGTTGTTGGGGGCTCCGGACCCTCAGTGGCAGAGAAGCCAGGGTCTGGAGTGTGGCCGGTCACGTGGGCAGAAGGAAGTTATCACGCACCGCTCGTAACTCGTCCACCCCAAAGTGACTCGCGTCTTTTCTCCCTCACGTTTAACTGGCCATGTCCCAGCTCAAGTGCGGGGTGGGAAGTACAAATCTATCACGTGCGCATCTACCGTGAGAAGAACCAGAAATCTGACGGCAGCCTTAGTCACTACCACGGCCCGGCCTTAATCCATAAAGTAAGGCTGCAAGTTGGTATCATTATGGCCAATTAAAAGTTGAGGCCCAAGGAATGTCGCTTCCCCAAGACCACAGCTGCAGGTCCTTGTGATTTTGTGTATCAAATCCGAAGCGTCGTCCCACTGGTAAAGGTTTTCAGTTCGGGTTCTTTCTCACCCCCACAGCATCCTGCGCCTCTCCCTGCAGGTACCGCCTACACCACCCTGTAACGATCCGTTTCCTTTGCAGTCTCTCTCTAGACTGTGCATCTTTCCATCTCTGTACCCCATGCGCCTAGCACAGATTCAGGCACAGATGTATCTGTTGAGCCAAGCTGGGGAGTCTTAGTGGGGCATGGGAGTGTAATGATTCACGGGCATAGACCTAACCAGACTGAGTCGTACTGGTTTGTTACTTAACAAAACCTGCAGGTCTTAGGAAGCAGGTTGGCCTGCCGTCAGTGGGATTCTGGTGGCTCTGGGGGTGTTGTTCACATTTCAGGTCCTGTGGCTAGAGAACCCCAAGAAAACTGAGAATGGTCTCTCCCAGCTCTGAGCCTTCACTAATATGGCGGCTGTGGACATAAAGAACTGTTTTCATGGAGAACCTAAGTCCAGTTGACATTGTCTTTCCCATGTGCACATGTCTGGGTTTCTGAAAAGCTGAACAAAGTGAGCCTTTATGTATCAAATCACATATTTCACATAACTCCCTTAAAATGTCAGAGATGCATGTATCATATTAAAGGCTTCCATTTTTGCTATTTTCTCCCTGTTTAGATGCAGATGTTGGACAAATTTCCCATGGAAGGAGGACAGAAGGATCCCAAACAGCGGATCATTCCCTTTCTGCCAGGTAGGTGAGACACATGCTGTCAGAAGGGGTTTCTGGGGGTTCCAGGACCGCCCCCAGATCTCTCAGCTCAGTTTCCTTGGGGCATAATACTAATGACCAGAGTCCCAGTCATTTGTGGAAATTAGTGCCTAAGAATATGGGCTTCGGGGTTAGATGCCACACCATCTACTTAGGCAAGATATTTCACCTCCAGGATGCTCAGTTTTTTCTGTCTCTAAAATGGGAATAATTAGAGCTCATAAAGTTTTTGTAGTGAGTGGCATCTTTATTATGGTTGCAGTATTAATTTGCTATCTCTGTATAACGAATTAATGCCAATTTAACAGCTTAAAACCACACTCATTTATTATCTCACAGCTCAGTTGGTCAGAAGGCCAGGCAGTTCTGCTGGGTTCTCTGTTTAGGGTCTCATAAGGCTGAAGTCATCATCTTGGCCAAGCTGGCTCTTAGCTGGAGGATTGGGGAAGAATCCACTTCCAGCCTCATTCAGGTTGTTGGCAGAATTTACTTCCTTGTACCTATAGAGCTAAAGTACTATTTCCGGTGTGCCTGGGTGGCTCAGTCAGTTGGGCATCCAGCTTCAGCTCAGGTCATGATCTTGCCATCCGTGAGTTCGAGCCCCACATCAGGCTCTGTGCTGACAGCTCAGAGCCTGGAGCCCGCTTCGGATTCGGTGTCTGCCTCGCTCTCTGCCCTTCCCCCACTCACGCTCTGTCTCTCTCTGTGTCTCAAAAATGAATAAACGTTAAAAAAAAAATTTTTTTTAAGAGCTCATACAGTTACACTATACCTCCCTAGCTAATCCAGCATAATTTCCCTCACTTAAAGTGAATTATGGTATATATTGTAACATGAGCCCAGGAATGAGATCTCATCATATTCACAGGCTCTGGGGACTAGGATGGGACGTCTTTGGGGTCCGTTTGAGAAATTCTGCCTGCCTATCTACCATAGCTACCAAGCACCTTCTGAGTGCCCAGCACCACTCTGGACACTGTGGAGGAGTTAATACAATCATGGCTGGTCCCTGCTCTCAAGACATTAAGTGTTCCTTTCCCCCGCAAAAATTCCCTTACCGAAGGAACAGCATGAAGGCTTCAGCTCAAAAAACGGGGCTGCCCGAACCAGAGTTATTGCTTCAAGTAGTAACATTGGATGTCTACTGCAGGCCAGTCACTGGGCTAAGTGCTTTACATTCATTACCACATTTAGTCTTCAGAACAACCCTGTGCCCATTTCACAGATGAGGAAATTGAGGCTCAGAGGAATTATAATCATTTGCACAAGTAGCAGAGCTGGGGTTAAACACTGGTATGGCTGGCCCCAAAATTCATGCCTGAAGTCAGAGGGCCCAAGTTCAAATCCCAGTGCCCTGCGGATCCACTCGGTTACCTTCGGTCAATTATTTAAGCACGCACATTATTTCCATTTGCAAATTGGAGATGATAATGATGCTTAAATGATAAAGTTGTTATGAGGATTAGCTAAGGGACTGGCACAGAACTAGCAGCAACCAAGCACTTACTATTTTTATGTACAATCAGCAAATTGACAATCGCCCCAAGTCACAAATATTTAGCGCTGGGAGGGCCCTTTCCGTCTTTTTCATTTTGCAGACAGGAAGCAGACCCAGAGAGGAGGGGGATTCCCTGGGTCACACAGGAGCCCACTCTCCCCTCCCCCACCCCAGAGTTCTGCAGTCGGCAACACATCGAGTGGGTTCTTCCAGATGTTAGCATCATCGAGTGGGTTTAGAGACAGGGTAGATGTATTTGCCAGGCCCCCGTCCACTGGGAGAATCATTTGCCTAAAAAAGCTAATGTTTTTAGTTCTTCCACGGAGAAAGTGTGCAATCACCCTGGAATTTTTGTTTCCTATTGGAGAAAACCCAGTGTACCGACTGCAGCTGCCAAATAGCAGTGCCCCACAGCGTGTGCTTTAAAGTCCAACAGACCCAGTTGTGTGACTTCCAGCAGATGACATCCCCCTGCCCCTGAGCCTCAGTTTCTACATCTATAAAATGGGACCATGACTCCCCTTTTACAAGCTTCTTGCCCTTGGATATAGTGGGTTCTCTGTCAAAGTCAGAACCAGGATCCTGGGATATTCCTTTGGAATGTCTTGGTACTCATATTTGAGAGTCATACATAAATGATCAGTCTGAATATTCAAGTTGAACTGGACTCTAAATGTAGGCCTTTCTTCAAGGAAAGGAAGGAAAGCAGTAAGTTGTAACTCTTCACTGGATGAAAGGCAAAACCAGCTCTGAAAAAACTTCCCAGGACAGGGAAGAACTTGAACCGACCCTCTCCCAAGCCCCTGAAAGCTTTTGTGGTTATGTAATCTTCCACCCACGAATTTATGAAAATGCTCTTCTCAGAGACTCAGCCCCATTTGCCCTGCTCAGGGTACCGACTTGCAGCTTGGAGTGGTCTGGTCGGGCCCCAGGACCCCTAGAGCATTCCTTCCCAGCCCACCCCTTGGCTTTTCCTTGAAGCCGAGGCCAACAGCAGGGATACGCGGGAGACACATCCCCGCTCCTCGGGGTCAGTTTTCTGCCAGGACTGCCGCGTCAGCAGAACAAAAGCAAGTCTCATGTTAGCACAAAGGCAGGGGGAGGGGAAAGGAGCCCTGTACAATTTTCCATCCCAGCAAGAGCTGGGGAAGCCAACTTGGCAGAGGATGCAGCTTGAAAAATAAGACTTACAGTTTGGCCTTCCACCACTGTGGAAAACAAAAGCCTGCCCATTCCCACCAAAGGCTGTGCTCTCCGCTGAGCACCCTTTCCACTCCAGGAAAGCTGGCCTGCCGGGGAAGGCTCGGGCTCACCCTCCTTCCCTCCAGCTCACACCGAAAGGCATCAGGGGCAGACGAGGGGCCGTTGCCCAACTGGCATTTCACTCAGAGCCACCGGTCAAGGAGGTACTGGCCACGTGCTTCTGCCCCGCAGCCCAGGGCCTGAGCCAGGTTCCAGTTCTGCTGCGGATAGACGATGAGTTAGCCCATTGGAGACAGGTCTTCACAAACTAAGCTGCAGGTTGAGGAAAGAACGTGTGCTCTTAATTGCAGAATATAAGGCCGTATCGTCTAACCCATGTTTTTTTAAGTGATTTACTCTTTTTGTGAGCACCTAGGAAGGGCCAGGCCCTGTGCTGCGTGTGTCATGGAGGGTACTACTAAGAAATAGGGGCTGCTCTCCCATTTTACAGATAAGGAGACTGAGGATCTGAGAGAGAAATGAATTTCCCAAGGCAGCATAGTCAGTAAGAGACCACCTTGGAATAGGCCCAGGGCCTCTCTGACTGCAGAGTCTGTGGCCTCCCTGGCAGGTGCCACTGCTGCCACGGGGCTTCCTGTCCCCAGACATCTACCCAGAGACTCCTATCCCACAGAGGCCACGCAGGGAGAGGAATGGTGCTTTTGTTGTTGTGTCACCCATCCAGGAGACATTGAAGATGCCTGAGTTCTCCATCCTTCTCTCTCCGCCCCTGCAGGCTGGGCCTCGGGTGAATTCTCTTTGGTGGTGGTGCCTCCAGGGCCAGCCTGTGCTGTTCCCATGGGCCGGTGCTAGCAGCATGCCTGTTGTGAATTGTTTGAGTCGGGTCACGATCTCCCCAGTAAGAGGCCTGAACAACCCCACTCTCCACCCTTCCTCTGATTTACAGAAAGGGACGTTATATCAAAATGGGAACAAATGTTTTTGCTGTAGGAGATTTCTCTTCACAGGCATGCATTCCTTGTTTTTCCTCAAGGCTCAGGATTCTCCTAGGGGTTCTAAACTGCAAATGGTCCCACCCATGAGGGTGGTAATGTGATTATCACAGTGACTGGGGGTGGAAAGGGGTTGGGAAGGCTGTGCGCTTTCTCTGGATTTGGGCCACGGATGCTAAACATCCTGCAGGGTGGGGAACCCTCCCACACAAGGAAAGACTGCCCCACCCGAAATGTCAGCAGGGTCCCTCCCTGTTGGGAAACACTGACTCAGTGCCAAGAGGGCAGCCCCCTGCGCTGGCCCGCAGAGGGCTCACGTGGGGACTGTTATCTATCAACTGAATAAGAGCAGGGATACCAGGTTGTAAACCCTCCCCACTTGGCTGCGTAATTTACTTTTTTATTGTAAAGGACAAAATTTTCTGATTCCGGAAGGAATGCATGTTTATGGTAGGAAATTTGGGGAAAGTCAAGGAAGAAAACAAAAAGGCTCTGTCTTCTACCCCTTGGAGACAAGCACTTTGAATCCTGTGATGCATTTTCTTCTCGATTTTTTCTTTCCTAATAGACATGGTATGTCCGAAGTTTGACTCATGAGCAGAATTAAAACAATCACCATAATAAACAAAGGAGATTCCTTGTTATTAAGGAATATGAGGAAGATGTATTTGATCTCACTGCGGGTTGTTGTTTTCTTTCTAATTGGTAGAAATTAAGCAAAACAACAACAACAACAACAAAAAACACCTCACTATGAGGCTGACCGTATGTACCTAATATACTAATTGTGCCCTTTTGCCCAAGAGCAAGTGGTCAGATAATTTTAAATGTTAGATTAGCCACATGGTCTCTTTGGGTGCAAATCTCCCTTACCAGCTTGCATGGAACATCTCAAAGGCAGTACACTGTCTCCCATCATCATTTCCAGTTCTGTCCTATTACGAAAATTCCTTTGGACCTTTCCTCCTATTCGGTTCCTGCTCACCCAAGCTCATTCTATGCGGTCTCACCAGAGCAATGTTGGCATGCTGATTGATCTCTCCTCACCCTGCCAGGCTTGTGGCCCAAATTCCTCTCCTTGACCTGCCTCCTCAGGCCAGAAGTAAGTGAAGCTCTCCATAGCTGTCCATACTCTGCTGTCTGAAACGCTATGGTCCCCCTGTGTCTTCCTCTTTGACTTCCCCCTGGAGACCTCTTGACACTCTGATAAGCTTGGCAGAGGAGCTTGTCTCCATCCCCCACCTTTTTGGCCCCCCCTTGGTGTCTTATTTCTGATTTTGCTCACCCCCTCCCTGTGTGACAGGTCCAAAAGGGTAGGGCCGAGCTGTCTTAATGGTCAGTGCATGTACTTGACCACCATCTGCCCATGACTCTCCCCTGTGAGACTCACGGGAACTCACCAATTTGCTTAATTTTTTTTTAACATTTATGTCTTTGGGAGAGAGAGAGCATGCGCATGTACACATGAGCGGGGAGGGGCAGAGCGAGAGAATCCCAAGCAGGCTCTGTGCTGTCAGGGCAGAGCCTGAATTGGGCTCCCTCCCACAAACCATGAGATCATGACCTAAGCCAAAATCAAGATTCAGACCCTTAACCGACTGAGCCACCCAGGAGCCCCTCACCAATTTGCTTTAAACAAACCTCACCCATAACATTTTAGCATCTTGGATATTTCCAGACATCCTCAGCGGCATCGTTTATATACTTGTCTTTGCCTGTGACCTGCCCACATGTCACCCTAGAAGCTCTGGATATCACCGAGCAAGTCATCAATTGATTCTCAGTTCGTTTTCAGTGAAATAGGAAGGCTTGGAACTCTTCTGGTAGAGAGAACTGATTGTTAGGAATTTGTCATCTTGAAGGATTTGTCAATTGAAGGATGTCATCTTGGCAAGTGAAATCCCCCTTTATACGTTCATCAAACATGAGTGCCATGTGGTGAGGGCACACAATTGACTAAGGCCCAGTCCATCCCTTCTTGTGCAGAGCTCCATGACTAGTAGGAAAGAAGAAGATGTAAATCAACAATGTGATGTGTGCAGTCAGAAAGAGACATGAACTCTTAGTCCATTTAAAGTGGGTAAAAAGTTTCCCACTGGGAGAGTGGGTGATGTTGGATGGGGAAGGTTTTCCAGACAGAGAAAAAGACAGAAAATAATGAAGACTGTGGAGTATTTGGGGAATGTAAGACTAGACTAGGTGTACGAGGAAAGAGGAAGAAAGGAAACTGAGCTGTTAGGTTGGACATATCAGAGTGTCCTCTCTACTGCTTGCCCCATCTGAGAACCCTGGAGTTGGATCATCAGATCTGACCTACCTTCTTCATCTGGCAGGAGCCCCTTCCTTCCACACGATTGGTCCAGCCTCCCTTATCTCACCAAAACTTGCCTAGTCGATCCCAGTCACTCAAGCCCTTGCACTTGATCTGTGAACAAGGCTTTGGAGGACCATGCATGGGGTCATCCAGGCCCTGTGGACATCCAACAGGGGATATTAATGGAAGCCAGGAATTTGGGTACCACTCACACCTAACAGAGGCAGCCACATCCACACCCTCCAGGATTGCTGACAGCTTGTCATTGCTCGCATACAGTGTCATGTGTGCTTTCATTTTCTGCAGGCAAAATTCTCTTCCGAAGAAGCCACATCCGGGATGTTGCTGTCAAACGCCTGATCCCAATTGATGAATACTGTAAGGTCGGTCTAAGAAATGCCAACACTTGCCCTGTGTCTCATGTCTTTCATTGGGTTGTGCGGGTTTTTTTTTTTTTTTCCTTCTTTTCCCTTTCTGGCTACAAAATAGCCATCTGCAGTTCAAAGAAATGTAAAAACAGAAAAACAACCACCCATGATCCCTCAACTGAGAGGCAACAGTTATTAAGGTTCTTATGTTTCCTTTCTATCTTTTCTCCCTACATGCATTTCTTTATGGTTTTGACACTATCCCACATGTGTTATTTTTGTTGCTCTTTCTTTTTCCTTTAATACTGTAATATAAGAATTTCCCCATGCTATAAAAACATTCTCTTGAACCTCCCGTAACTGGTTGCATGGTATTCTACTGTGTGTGAATGTCCCAGAAGTTATTCAGCCAACCCCTGTTGTTGGACAGTGCAGCTGGCTTCCAATCCCTTGAATGTTCTAAACCACAAGGTGCCTGCCTTTTGGTTGTATCTCATTTGACTGGAGGCTGTGGTTGGGGGAAAAAAGCATGCTTTTCCTCTGTTTCGTTTCCCTTATCTTTAGTATTTATTTTTCTAGCTTCAAATCACTAGAAGCTCTGATTGGAGAGGGTGGGAAGAGCAAGAAATACTATCACAATGGAGCAGTAAATGCTCTCTCTCCCTAGGATCAGGAACAAAGCAAGTACATTTTTCTTGCCACTTCTGTTCTACATTTTGCTGGAGGATCTAGCCAATGTAAGCAGACAAAAAAAGAAATAATAAAAGGCATATGGGTTGGAAAGAAGGAAGTAAAACTGCCTTCCTTCACAAATGACATGATTCTGTTGTAGAAAATCTTAAGGGATCCACACAAAAAAAACCTACTAGAACTAATACAAAAGTTTAGTAAGATCACAGGATACAAGATCAATATCAAAAAACAATTGTATTTCTAAGCACTAAGCATGAACAATCCAAAAATGAAATTAAGGAAATAATTCCATTCTCAATAATATCAAAATAAATAAAATACTTAGGAATAAATTTAATAAAAGAATTACAAGGTTTATACATTGAAACTACAAAACACTTGACAGAAATTAAACCAGCTCAAAATTAATGGAGAGACATTCCATACTCATGGATTGGAAGATTCAATAGTGTTAAAATGGCAGTTGTTACTCAGCCATAAAAAAGAATGAAATCTTGCCTTTGCAACGACATGGAAGGAGCTAGAGAGCATATTGGTAAGTGAAATAAGTCAGTCAGAGAAAGACAAATACCATATGATTTCACTCATATGTGGAATTTAAGAAACAAAACAAATGAACAAAGGGGTAAAAGAGAGAGAGAGAGAGAGAGAGAGGAAGAAATCAAGAAACAGACTCTGAATTATAGAGAACAAACTGGTGGTTACCAGAGGGGTCGGAGGGGGAGGGGATGGGTGAAATTGGTGATGAGGATCAAGGAGGGTACTTACGATGAGCACCAGGTGTTGTATGGAAGTGTTGGGTCACTGTATAACTAACTGGAATTTAAATTAAAACTTTTTAAAAATCTAGGAGGGCAAATTAGAATTTGAGTGTTAGGATGAATGTCTTAATGAGGACAATATATTGTATATTTGTGTGTGTGTATAATATATACACGTGTATGTGTGTGTGTAGCAAAATTGATATGAAAAAGACAAACAACCACATAGGAAAAATGGATGAAAGACAGGACTAGAAATACAAAGAAAAACAAATCCCAGGGTGCCTGGGTGGCTCAGTTGGTGGGAGTCTAACTCTTGGTTTTAGCTCAGGTCATGATCTCACAGTTAGTGAATTTGAGCCCTGCATCAGGCTCTGTGCAGGGCCTGCTTGGGATTCTCTCTCTCTTCCTCTCTCTCTCTCTGCCCCTTCCCCTCTCACACTGTCTCTCTCAAACTTCCCAATGACCAACAAAACAAAAGATACTACAAATAAAATAAAATAAAATAAAATAAAATAAAATAAAATGGCAGTTCTCCCCCAGTTGACCTATAGATTGAATATAATCTCTGGCAAAATCCTAGTAAGCTTTTTTAGAGAAATTTACAAGCTGATCCTAAATTGTGTGGAGAAATGCAAGGAACCCAAAATAGCCAAAACAATTATGAAAAAGAACAAAATTAGAGGCTTCTACTATCCATTTTCAAAACTTCCTACAAAGCTATAGCAATGAAGACAGTGTGGTACTGGCATAAGGATAGGCATGTGGATCAGTGGAACAGAAGTAAGAGGCTAGAAATAAACTTTTGTGAAATTTATAGTCAAATGATTTTCAGCAATGGTGCCAAGAAATTCAGTAGGAAAAGGATAATCTTTTTAACAGTGTGGGATAATAGGACATCCGTACACCAAATAAAAGAAAAAAAATTATGTTGGATCCCTACCTCACACCATGCACAAAAAACAACTCAAAATGGATCACAGACCTAAACGTAAGAGCTAAAACTATAAAACTTCTAGAAGAAAACATAGGAGAAAATCCTCATGACCGTAGTTTAGGCAGAGAGTTCCTAGCTGTGACACCAAAAGAGAAAAATTGATAAATGGGACTCATTAAACTTCCGAACTCTGTACTTCAAAAAGATCCCATGAAGAAAATGAAAACACACACCACAGATTAGGAGAAAATATTTGTAAATCATATCTCTGACAAGGGACTTGTATTGAGTCTATATGAAGAACTCTTGCAACTCAACAATAAAGATGGCCTGGTTTAAAAATAGGCAAAAGATTTGAACAGAAATTTCACCTAGGAAACACATAAAACACATAACAAGGTGTTCAGCTTCTTTATTCATTATGCAATGCAAAATAAAACCATAATGAGATACCCTACGCAGCCCTTGGAATAGCTATAATCAACAAGACAGACAAAACCAAGAGCTGGTAAAGATATGGAGAAATTAGAGCTCTCATTCTGGAGGGGATACATGATGGAAAGCCACTTTGGAAAACAGTTTGGCAATTTTTTCAAAAAGTGAAATTTACCGTATAACTACTCTTTGATATCTACTCAAGAGAATTGAAAAACTTAGTCCACACAAAGACTCGGATGTACATGTTCTAGCAGTACTAATCCATAATAGCCCAAAATTGGAAGCAATCCAAATGTCCATCATCAGGCACATGGATAAAGAAAATGTGGAATAATCATACAATCGACCATTATTCGACAGTAAAATGCAGTGAAAGACCAATAAATGCTGCAACTTGGATGAATCTCAAAAACATGATGCTGAAAAAAGCCAGATGCAAAAGACTACATACTGCATGATTCCATCTACATGAAATGTGCAGAAGAGGCGACTTTACGGAGACAGAAAGCAGATCAGTGGTTTCCTAGGCCTGAAGACAGCATAGGCAGACATGGACTGCAAATTAGGTGGGGGAAATTTTTGAGGTGATGGAAAAGTTCTAAAACTGGATTGTGGTCATGGTTGCATACTCTGTAATTTACTAAATATCATTGAATTGTGCACTTATAATGGGTGGTTCTTATGTACATAAATTATACTTCAATACATCTATAAAAAAATTTAAAGGAGGCAGTGTGGGCATAGATGACCCTTGTCTTGGCAGGAGATGTCATGGAAGGGTAGAAAATCATTCCTGATCACTCCTGTCCTCTCTTTACTGGACATAACCTCGTTTCATCCCTCCAATAACCTTGAGAAGTAGGTTTTACTATTCCCATTGTGTAGATGAGGAAACAGAGGCCCGACAAAGTTACTTACAATGAGAGTATTACAGAGTTTGATGGTTGAACCCTGGCCTTTTAGGCCTTGGCACTCACATACCACATATGGCCTCTCTTAAGAAAGTAAAACTTCAAGAGATCAAAATATTCAAGCATATATTTCATAGACGTAGATAAACTCAGACTCTTTCTCTCCTAAAGATACCCTTAAAAAAGGATTGGGGAGTGAAGCACAGAGAAGGTCACCCAGGCACAAAGATGCTACTACTGCCTCCCAGCTCTCAGAGGAAAGTTCGGATCATCTGTGCTTTGTGTCTTTTCAAACCTCTACAGCCTAAAAGTCCTTTGTGCCAGCCTTGCTGGCAAGAACTTTGGACCTCTGGGGTCACCTGGGCCAGCTGGGGATTTCTCAGACCAAATTGTGCTATCCTGCTTCTTCCTCTGCCCACCCAACTCCTCTCCAGAGTCACACTTTCCTCATACCCAGGGGGTCACGAACCTCTAGACATTTGATTTTGAAAAGGAGATTTAATAAAACCCTGAAATGAACAGATAGCAGCAGCTGCCTGCGTCTGGCTGATGCTTGGAATGGTACGGAGATCATGAATTCACTTGGATTAGCCATAGGGAAGAAGCCGCTTATGTTGTATGAGCCACATGGAAGTTACCACCCCCTGCTATTAATGCATCATAAGAAGCAGAGCAGATATTTTGGGGTTTTGGTTGGCCAAATTCCCTGGCTTAGCTTCAAGGGAACTGCCCTCCTGGAGGGAGATGAAACTATCTATTCACACAGTCTGCAAAATCTTTTACAGACTACATAGACTTATTTAGCATTTGGGTATCTGTTATTGACATTGTTGTGAGCTGACTTAAGCCAATTTAATCTATCACTCTTAGCCTTATTTTAGTAGAAATTGGTAGTCTCCAATAGGGAAAGATAGACAAAGCCTGTAGGTATCCCTAGACCTAGTTACCAGCTAGGAAGAAACCTTCTGCTCTGCTAGACCTATTATAAAGTTACAGTACTTAACATAGTATGGTGTTGGCATAAGGAAACAAACTTTTGGAACAAAATAGAGAATCCAGAAACAGACCTGTGTGTATTTGGACATTTTAATACTGGCAAAGGCAGCCTTACAGGTCATTGAGGAAAGGTTGGATTCTTCAGTAAATGGGAATCCTTATGGGGCGCCTGGGTGGCTCAGTCGGTTAGGCAGCTGACTTCGGCTCAGGTCATGATCTTGCAGTCTGTGAGTTCTAGCCCCTCGTCGGGTTCTGTGCTGACAGCTCAAAGCCTGGAGC